GTGTGTGTGTGTTTTAGATTTTCCTCACAACAGCCCCAATTCCACCCAGGTGAATAGATGCAGAATGAAGCAGTCTTTGACTCTTTGTCCTATTGCAGACAACAAGGGCATATGAGATGTCCAACATATTAAAGCAACTTTATAATTATACAGTTTTTTGGTTGTCCTTGGGGTACCCCTTTCATTGTTCCTGCCGTGTGTGTGTGTGTGGGTGAGTGTGTGTGTGTGTGTGTGTGTGTGTGTGTGTGTGTGTGTGTGTGTGCGTGTGTGCGTGTGTGTGTGCCCAATTTGGATCTAACACTTCCTGACCTTCAATCTGCCTGCCAGACTCCAACTCCGACTCTCTCTCTCTCTCTCTCTCTCTCTCTCTCTCTCTCTCTCTCTCTCTCTCTCTCTCTCTCTCTCTCTCTCTCTCGGTCGGTAAGTTAAACCAAAACATATATGCCTAGATTTGAACCCTAGCAAAACAATGGTGTCTGTGTTGGGTGTGTGTGTGTGCATTGGTGTTCGTGAGTGTGTCGTCGTGTTCAAGAACCAAGAAGCTTGGTTAAAACTGCTTGTGAAGGGCAGGGGGGAGTCAGCCAGGGGGGAGCGAGCAAGCGAGCGAGCGAGCGAGCGAGCGAGCGAGAGAGAGAGAGAGAGAGAGAGAGAGCTGTCTCTTATACACATCTAGATGTGTATAAGAGACAGATGGTGATCTCTGTGATCCTTGTTCCTCTAATTTCGTTGAGATCCTCCTAGCGCAGTCTGGTAGCGCATCTGTTTTGGGGTACTATCTGGTTATGGTGTGACGGGCGTAGGAAGAGGAGGACACACGAAGTGCTGCGCCCTGGTCGACATATTCTCTGGGACAAATCACTCTCTGCAAGGGTGAGTATAACACACATTCATGACTGCAAGTATTTCACAAACGCCTGGCACACATACACGATCGCACAGGTCACGTCCGCCAACGGTAGACATGGAAGCGACTGCTCAATAACTTTTCTCCTCACCACCCTTCTTCGCCCCTACACTCAAACCACATTCTTCCACTTGCCTTAACTCAATTCTTCTCTGCAGTCTGGCTGCTACTCATTCTTGTCTTCACGTTCTCCACCGCCTGCCTAAAATGGATGTCTCGAAGGACTCTTTTATGCAATTGTACACTCAGCCTGCCAGTACCTACCTTCTTCCCCCGAATACAACATACGGTCATTATAGCTGTATTTAGACTCAAAGATACGCCAAATTCAGCTATAATGACCGTATGTTGTATTCGGGGAAAAGACTGTAGAAGGGAACGAGAGTTTACAGTTGAGGTCCTACACGAGTAGCAAAAACGAGGGAACGCTAACTTGAACTCCATTGTGCCCAGCCTGCCAGTGGTGGGGGACCACCAACTTGTACTGCATTGTGCACACAGTTCAGGGTATCAGTTGTGCAGGGCAGTTATTGATGCCGAACCGCTACTGGGGTTTGAGCCTTGAGGTGGATTATCACTTACACAGTCTTACAGTATTATGGGTTGGGTGACTCTGCAGACTGTAGAGGATTCAGCTTCCTGTTGAATCGGTGCAATTCCAACGAAACGGTGCGTCATAGCCCCCCTTTTCTTGTCCTTTTCTGGTCCTTTTCGCCCCTTAAATTCAGACATTTCCTTAACGAGACATGCACTCGGAAGGAGGCGTAGTGAGGGTGGGAGATGGAGGATAGAAAAAGAAAGTGATGGTGTGAGCCACACCCCCAGCAGGCGCAGAAAACACTTCATCCGTATCAAGTTCATATGATAGGAAGCATAAGGAGAGTACGAGCAGCGTTCCTATGGTGCGTGTTTCAGCCTCTGCTAGTGTGAGGCCTCATCAGGGAACATAGCGCCTGGCGTGTGGATTTTAAAGAGATCCTGGCCTTCGGTCTCCGTTTATGTACGGCCAATATCTGCTAAACTGTGCAAGTTGAACCTTGCCCCCACTTCATCCCTTTATTAAAGTTTATTTTGCCTGTGTGAGCATTTCTGAAAATTGTGACTGCTTGTGCTAGCTTAATTAAAAACTCTTGGAATTCACAGGCCCCTCTTTCTTTTTCCATTTTCCATCCTGTGACCCTGGTCTTTGAGGGGGGGGGTTAAGGGTGGGGCCAGGGGGTAGGGGGTAGGGTGGAAGGGGGGGGAAGGAAGTGGTGATTGGGGGGTAGAAATAAGGTATGTTGGGCTGATTATAATCGATCTCCCCGTTTTTTGGGGGGAGGCAACAGCGGCTGCTGCACAAACAAGTCTCGAATAGGCAAAAAAAAAAACACGCTGGCAAAACAACCAGCTGTGGAGTTTGAAAAGGCAATGAATTTGAATGAAAGCACCATGGATGTGACAGAGGCACAGATCTCATGACCACAGGGGCGGGCCGTGGTGCCAGACGGGAGAGGGGGACCAAAAAAATCTATTTTGAATTTTTGACTGAAATCGCCATTTCAAACTCGTGCCATGAGCACAGTACCATTTACTGTTTTTTTTTGCCTTCTCAAACTCGAAACCCGCCGTGGTTTCTTTTTTTGCCTTCTTTCTTTTTGCTTTCACAGAAAAGGGCGACGACCTTGACCCTTGACAAATCATCTTTGAAGTTTGAACTGCCCCGGCCGCCATTCGGAATTGCCGAGTTATTTTTTCACTCATCCTTGGAATTCTGCGAACTCGGGTCTATATTTCAAATTTGAAATTTCAACAGCTCGCGGGTGTACCAGCTGGGTGGGCTACCGGCCAGTTGGTCAATCTCCCAGTGTTGAGACTCTTGAGAGACATCTGAACTGTGTTGCAGAACTGTCAAATCCCAGGAATGAGCGGGAATGAATATTCTTAAGTTTAAAATTTAAATTACATTATGTATTTAAATACTATTTATCAGTGTTTAGTACTGTTTACTATTTAACATTTCTGATGATTTCTTCGCCAGGATACGATGAGTGAACAGTCTAAAAAAAGAAACAACAACAGAGAATCTCTAGTCCACTTCGGCAACCTCAATGGAGACTGTCCTTCGGAATATATCCACGAAAAATGGAAAGCCGCAGAGAGGATTAGCATGGACCCCGCAGTGACCTGCACACAGAAGAAGAAGAAGAAGAAGAAGAAGAAGAAGAAGAAGAAGAAGAAGAAGATACACAAATTGAGAGCACGAGGGGAAAAAAAGGAGGAGCTCCACAAAGGCTGGAGCTGAATGTAATACAGAATTAAGAAGAGAAGGGGGGGGGAAAAAAGGAAAAGACTCAAAAGTGAAAACAAACCTTGAAGTTACCCGATGGAAGATGCAATTGCACTCGAAGAGGAGCCGCAGGAAGAAGTGCTGATGGCCGGAAGGGTCGGTGATGAAATCTCCTCCATCGACGAAGAAAGGACCCTCCTGATGACGACGATGACAATGGCGATGATGATGACGATGACGATGACGATGATGATGACGAGAATGATGATGGGATGAAGAAGGATGGAAGATTCAGCGGAAAAAAGCGGGTGGTAATCTGGCGCTGGCACTCTCTCTGCCTTCTCCTCGGGCATTCCGTGGCACTGCTGTCGACGGTCCCTGAGGGCGTTTGGGTCAAGGTGCCTTCGGGACTTGAGGAGTCCGCCTTTTTCATGTCCACAGCACCTCCCTTTTGGGAGCCAAAAACTTGGATTTTGGAATTACAACTATTTCGAAACTTTTGCAGCATGGCACGGAAGCTCAGTTTGTGAGTCTGCACCTGCTCGGCAATTGCTGCATTGAGAAAGTTTCCAGCTGATGCTATTTTTAGACGCGAGGCGGCCCTCCACGCGTAGTACGATGATGGCGAACTGGCTATGGCTGCTCGATAGCATGAACGCGCATCTCGCATGTATCCGAGCTCCTCTGACCACTTGCCTGCCTGCACTCAATGCCACGCGTCAGCCAAGTGCATCGTATTTGTCAGCATGAACTCAACGAGTTCTTCTTTTTTTTTTAACCTTCTGGTCCTCCTTCTGAGTGACCGTTTAGTTACAACATCACGTTGTTATTTACATCCGAGTCCTCATTTGTGTTCTTTTTTCCTCCTGGTTTACCTTCTTGTTTTGCTTTCTGGATTACCTTCTGGTTTACTTTCTGATTTACTTTCCGGTTTACCTTCTGGTTCACCTTCTGGTTTACCTTCTGGTTTTTACTTTCAGCTCGTTTTCGATTCATCTTCTAGTCTTTGTTCTCGGTGACCATTTGGTTTACAGCGATAGATTGTTGTCTACATCGTCATTTATGTTCTTTTAAACTTGGGGTTTGCCTACCTTCTCGTTTACTTTCTGGTTTACGCACCTTCTGGCCTACCTTCTGGTTTACCTTCCGGTCTACTTTCTGGTTTACCTTTCCCTCTGAGTTTACTTCTGATTTACCGTCTGGTTTACCTAACTTCTGGTTTTGCTTCTGGTTTACCTAACTTCTGGTTTTGCTTCTGGCTTACTGTCTGGTTTTCCTTCTGGCTTACCGTCTGGTTTTCCGCATGGTTTACCGTCTGGTTTTCATTCTGGTTTTCATTCTGATTTAACTTCTTCTGGTTTGGTTTGCTGTTGAGAACATGTTGGCGATGATGTTGCCATTTTTCATTTGACTAACCTTCTCTCGGTGTGACAAAAACTATCAGAAAGAACATAAACCTGGCCACCAGAGTAGCTTGGCTTTTTCCCTTTTTTTTTTCAAGTTCCCATCTATTCTACTACACCTCTCATCACGCAGTCGAAGTAGAGTCGACTCTGCCATCAACGTAGCATATATGAATCTTCAGCGTGTGCGCGTGCACCCCTGCAAAGTCTGATCTCCATATGACCATACCCATAGCCAGCGTCCTCCACGGTTTTACCATAGAACACTGACGTCCTGACCATTTTCTTGGCCAGTACCAGTATTGGACTCGCCGGTCGTGAAACTGCTGCTATAAATAGCATATCAGTTGATTTAAATTCATATAATGGAGAGGTCGGGGATAAATCTGGGTGAAAAAAAGGGAAAAAAAAAGAAAGGCCTTTGAAAAGGGGACACTTCTGGTTTCTCGACCATTCAGCTCATAAAAAGTGAACAGTTTGTCTGTGCAGTGTGCACATCCTCTCCTCTTTTTGATGTTCTCTCTTTCCTTCTCCGGACCTGGCAATCGTCCTCTAAGTGTATTTCCCTTTACAGCATTTCCGAGACCCAATTTTGCCCCTACTGGCTTCTTCCAAACGCAATGCACCCTGATCATAAATGTATACAAGCTACTTTTCCGGTTGGATACAGCTATGCTGAGATCGCATTTTGTTCAGGGGATTCAGGAGGGAAGACGGTTGGTCGCCCGCCTCCTCTTTTTCTCTTTTGGTTCCAACTTTCAATCTATTGGTGGGAAGGAACAAACTTGAGGGGTCCCTTTCGTCTTATTGTCAGATAGTAAACTCAAACTCTCTCCTAAAAAACTCAAACTCTCTCCTGAACCAAGGTCAACTCTCTGCAGCACAGTTAAACCCTTGGTCAACGCTCTCTACAGCAGAGTTAAACTCTTGGTCACCTATTTAGTATTTAGCAAAGTGGACCTTTAAGTGGTGCAAAATCAAGTCTCCAGCCAACTGCAGCAACGTCAACTCTCCAGGGCATGAGGTACAAACATAGACTTTTTTTTTTTTAGCAATATCAGCGTTCTGGTAAACTCCCCGGCAAAGTGCAGCAACGTCAACTCTCCCTGGCATAAGCTGCAGTGCTGCTAAACCCTGAGTCAACTCTCTGCAGGTCAGCTCTCTCTACAGCATAGTTTAACCCTTGGTCAACTCTATCTGCAGCACAGTTAAACCCTTGGTCAACTCTCTCTACAGCACAGTGAAACCCTTGGTCAACTCTCTCTACAGCACAGTTAAAACCTTGGTCAACTCTCTTTATACTAGTTTATAGCACTGTTGCCTGGTCAACTCTCTCTACCGCACAGTTAAACCCTTGGTCAATTCTCTCTACAGCACAGTTAAAGCACCAGTACGTGGCCCCAGCCAAGTCGAGAGTCCGATTCAGCCTCTCCTAAAATTTAGGAGGCTCGCGCGCGGTCGATAAAATGAATCGATGGCAGGCGGCCTTCGAAAGGGGCCTGCGGGTGATGGCTAGCATGTACTGGTGTTTTAAAGTTTAAACCCTTGGTCAACTCTCTCTACAGCATAGTTAAACCCTTGGTCAACTCTACAGCACAGTTAATCAATTGGTGAACCCTCTCTACAGCACAGTTAAAACCTTGGTCAACTATCCAGCAAAGTGATGCAAAGTCAAGTATCTAGCAAAGTTCATGAAGGTCAACTCTCCTGGTCATGAGTTAGACAAGGTCAACTCTCTCTAGCGATATCAACCCTCTGGTCAACACTCCGGCAATCTGATTTCAACCAAGGTCAACTTTCTCCAGCAAAGCTACCCCGAAGTCAAATGTCCCCAGCACAAGGGTAGATAATCAAGGTCAACTCTCTCCAGGAGAACTCTGGCCAGATCAATGCAATTAGTCATCCCCAACTGGGCTCAATCTTTTTTTTTTTTTTTTTTTTTTTTTTTTTTAATGCTGGGAACCGGGCCCAGCATCCCATTTCGAATTGTACAGATCATTGAGAACATTTGAGATCATTTGAGATACCGGGGCCATTACCAGGCTTCGGCTGAGAACCAAGTGGGCTCAATCATTCCCCCAAACATGTGAAAATTTTCATGGCCTTTCGAGATGTCCTACCTTCTTCCCTCGAACACAATGCCCCGGTCGTTATATCTGTATCTGACCTGAAAGTTGCAGTGAATGCAGCCATATTGACTGGATTCACTGACGTTGTTTTCAAACTTCAAAGGGCTAAGTTAGTCTCCTAGAAGACTCTGGTCCAGCCCATAATACAAACAGTTACATCAGAAGAGAGCGATGGATAGGCCTTTTTTTTTTTTTTTTTTAGGGTTTAGGGTTTAGATTGAAGAGTTTAGTAGCGCAGCAGCGGAGGCAGGTCAACAATTTTTTGAGCATTTTATAGGGTTGGGTGGATCCATAAAGCAGAATAGCTCCCCCCACCCCTTATTGGCAACATAGTATTAGGGTTGGGCGTAGAATTCTATATATTTGCAGGGGTGCCAAAGAAGACCCTTGCTCTGGAAAGAGAGAGAGGTGATGCTCACTGGATACCCAGACAAGCTTTTTGACTGACCACTGTGTAACTCGTGCTTAGGCGAGAACCACAGTGGGCCGTACTGTGTAGCAGGCTGGGCAATTAAAGATAGGAGTTGTGCCTCTATAGCAAAGGCCCAAGGGAGGCGTGTCGACATGGCTTGTACAGATCTTGCCAGGTTGCACCTCATGCCCGGTACCGGACATTTATTCTTTTTTGGCTATCTCCTCGGTACTGCCATATTTTACAGTTCTGTCCCTTGAACATTTGTACAGCTACCCTTCTGGTACCGTCGGATTTCATATATAGTACATACCCCTGAGCCCAGCCTAGCCATTAGGCTGTTCCCAGGTACATATATGTACCAGTCTCACACACTGGCAAGACATCGTGTGCTGCTCTCTGTTTCAGACAATGAGAGTGAGCTCAACATTGAGTTGCTATTGGTACTCTTCTCTCGTCGTCCCTCATCGTACCGGTCCGGTTCTGTGGCAGAGTCTGGTCATGAGTTTGTGTGTATTCTACTATTCACTCCCTCTCGCCCTCCCGTCTCCTCCTCGAACCCAGTGCTCGTCAAAGTGGCGGAGGTTCTGGTGGTGGGATGCTCTGAGCCCATTGTGTGGACAGGTGCAAAAAATTGTGATTGATCTACTTTTCTGCACTTCTGCGTGGAACACGTCCAGATTCAGACACTTCTTCCAATCCTCTTTGCCAGTGGGATCTGGCCCTTAGCCTCATTTATTAGACACCCAAGAAACATAATCATTGAAAGAGACAGCTTCCACTACAACAGGCATATTAAAGGCATGATGATTAGTACCACAAAAAAGTTCACTACATTGACCATAGTAGGTTAGCAAAGGAACGACTTAGGGCCTCGCTCCACCACTCACCACATGCACAAAAGACAAAAATTACGGCGGTGCATCTGTCCAGGTTCTTGCACAAGATTCATTCTCATTTTGCAGTGTTTTGCACCTTTGGTGAGTGATGGAGGGAGGCCCTTACCCAGTATGCAGCAGTAGGTGCCACTGAGGAGAAGGGAGCTTCCCTCACTATCTTACAGGCGTGCTTGATGGCCGCCCGGAAATCTCCTCTGTCGGAATACGCTGCCACATGTTTCCATCTGCGATGTGAGCAAACAGAGTACGCCGTACGGCATATTAGCTCTTTTCTTTATTATTATCTTTCTTTTTTTTTTGCCTGGTGATTAGTTATCCTGGTACGATCTAAGAAAGCATTGATTTCAATTTGCAATTGATGTGCATCAGGACAGCATAGTGAACAAGGTGCACATCTGGTTCCACTCTTCCAGAAACAGTATGCCCTTATCACTGTTATCAGACCTTTTTTTTTTTTTTTTAAAAGAACTGCACATGCATAAATGGCTGGAAACCGGGTCCACCCGGTCCAGCACCCCTTGCAATTCAGACACTCTACCCCTCTTCTTACTTATTGGGCGTTATCCTCATCAAGACGGTTGTTCTGAAAAAAAAAAAGGATCTCTGAGTCTGTGGATCTCTGTCTATTGATGAGAGAATAGTGGTAGAACCCTACGCATTGAAAGTCAGCCTCTGACCAAAGTAGTACAGATCTTGCCAAGTCAAAGTCAACGATCGGCGGCTACCAGCTGGCGAATTTGAATTCATTGCTGACCGTCAAAGGGCGACAACTGGCGATTTCACTTTTTGTGAATTCACTTTTTGTTAATTCGTTTTTTTTTCCTTCGTTTGTCTTCTGTTTGTTCTGGATAAGGATATCGTGTCAATTTCGTCGAAGCAAAAGTGGTTCCTGACTCTGTACCTCACCACAGCTGCAACCTCTGTGCTTGGAAAGGTTCTTGCTGCCTCTTTCTCCCATGTGCCGAGAAAGGCCTTGTCTTCCAGTTTAAGATCTTTCAGATTACCCCAGTGTTTCTCCAGACACGCTTCTCCCAAATCAGGCCAATCTTCGATAAGCAGACGCATCCACAACCAGTAGGGACTTTCTCTCACCCAAGAATCGACCGTTCCTACCCGACGCCTCGGATCCTCTCGTGGCCTTGTTCGCAACGTTATCGGTGACGACGACGATCCTCCTCGGGAACGCTGGTCACTACTGGTACTGGTACCGTGTCGATCGTGTCTCCTGCCGAGCTCTCTGCCCTTCGCGGAACCGAGACCTTGCTGAGTAGCGCTCGGTAGCATATGCCTTTGTAGCAATGCCATTGAACTTTCTACTGATCCGTCAGAAGGACTCGGAGAAGTGCCAGCCTCTCCAAGCCCCATAGCCACTTTCAAACTTTCACTCACCTTATCGAAACTCCCTTCCATATTATCAAAACGCTTCCCATGTATCCGCATGGACACTTCGGATCGACGAGGGGCACCAATGAGTCCACTATGGGGATGCTCATCCAGACTCTTGCCATCCTTGTCCAAACTCCTCCCCACCTTTTCCAAGTTCTCCACAGCCATATCCAAATGTCTTGAAGTTGCCCCTGAGTGTTCTGCTGCTCCTCGCCTACCAGCGCTTGATGGCATCTGACCCATCACCTCCCGGTGAAAGGTGCTGCTTGAGGAGACGATGAATCCATCAGATCCGATTCCCTCAGGCGGCGATTCTTGACCTTTGTGCCTCAACCCTCTGACGTGATCAGACTGAACCTGTTCTTGTCTCTCGATCTCGTTTGGAGCCTGCACCTGGACCCTGACCAACTGCCGAGACCCCGGTCGCCCAACACGCATCGGCTGCTTGGAGGCAGTTTTATGGCCCAAAGGGGGGCTCAAACTGTCCTCCGCGGACGATAATGGACCCATGATAGGACTCCTCAGGCGTAGTCCTTGCCGTTGCACTTTGTCCCCTAGCTGCTTGGCCTTCAAGGAAACCTCCCTCGCTCTCCTCTCAGAATCACTGAGACCTGCTAAGGCATGCTTGCCAGACAGGGTAACAGCTCTGACATCAAGCTGACTGCGTGGCCCCTTCCTGGCCTCGAGAAGACGACGAGCATCTTGATCCAACGGCCCAGACGGCTGCCACATGGGATTCAGAAACTGCAGAGATGTCATTGCTATTTGCTTATCAGCCTGAGGAGCTGCAGCAGCAGCCATAGCCTTCATGTCCTTTTCAACCTCAATACTTTTGGCAAAAGCCTCCCACCATTTACATCCAATGCCCAGTAAGTGAACCAGTGAGAAGGCCTGCTCTGCTGATCTGGACTTTCTCCTGCTACTCTGCGACCGCATGTACTCGTTGGCATAGCACTGTTTCCAACACAGAAAATGTCCAGCCACGTACATGTCAGTGACAGATGCGTGCACATGGGGACACGAACTCATGCATTCAAGCTAGTAACAGGTCAACAAACACACACACACACACACACACACACACACACACACACACACACACACACACACACACACACACACACACAGATTTGCCGTGGAGATGGCGCGAGCAGCGCAAAACAACGATGGTACATTTCCTATTGCTCGTCCCATCTAATCGAGAAATACACAATAACAAGCCTTGCAACTCTTGGACAATTTGGTGCCAATGTGAGTATACTCTGCTGTGACCAAACTGCTCAATTGGAGAACACACCGACTATGTCTCATTGAAAATGCGATGCCAGTACACCTCCACCAAGGGGCAAATTCGCTTTTTCGAGATATCAAAGACTCGTAATTTTGCGGAGAAAAAAGTCCCTAGTGTGTGTATGCCTACTATGCCCTCACACTGGGACCTTGTTGACAACTGTTATACCGCGTTCCACGCGGAGATGGTGCTTCAAAAATTGCATTTGTGCACTAAGTGAGTGAAGGTCGGTAGCAACGGCCCGAGGTTGGGTCTGGAGGCCTGCAGTGACAGTTGTAAGACCAGTTGAGACTCTAGGCTTTAGCCTTCATCTGGTACATGAGTCAAGCCGTCTGGTACATGAGCCATGTGTGTCTGTTTCTTTTGACAATTCTAGTGTGAACTGTGGCTCAGTTTTGTTTTTAGTCAGTGAGCATTTGTGGTGATAGGGACTGAGAAGCATCCAGGAGGTAGGCAAGGAGCTTTAGCCTGGTCTGCTAGGCGAATGGGGAAAAAAACCTTGGAAAAAAAAGGAAGGCCGAAATAGGAAATGATTTTTTTCGAATTTTTTGAGGTGGAGCTGGGAATTTGAGTTGTGTTTGTTACTTGATCTCTGGACATAACCATGCTCAAGTTCGAGTCTGTTGTTGAATACACTTCCTTGGAGGAATACAGGCCTGAGTTGCAATGAGTTGGCTATCCGCCCGCACTCCCCACCGTCAACTCCGCTGTGCTGAATCGCCGGGCATACACACACTAGGACTTTGCTTTGTTGAAGATCAAGGGCATACTCACATGAATCTGCCGTTTTTGGGTATAAGCCCGAGTTAGGATGCATCCGCTATGTTCAGTTGTGGGGAATGGGGGCTACACCGCCACCCCCCCAATTTGAGGTTCTCTTTGCTGAATCTCAGGGCATCCTCACACTAGGACATTGCTTTTCTGAAGCTCAAGCGCATACTCACACTACGACTTTTTCTGCCTTTTTCCGCAGGTGATTGCAGTCCTGTTCTTCGAGTCAGTCTGTAATCACAGTCAGAAACATTTATGAAAGTGCCAGTGTGAGTGTGCTCCTATGTCGATGCATCCATGAATTTCGAAATACAGACCCACGTTTGTCTGCTGTTGAATACAGACCTCAGTTCAAACTTCAAACACGTTGGCTACGTTCAGTTGTAGGGGGGAAGGGGGCTACGCACCCTCCCTCCCGCACCCCTCACCCCCGAATGTCAGCTTCACTGTACCGAATTTCAGGGCATACTCACACTCGAACATTGCTGAAGCTCAAGGCTATACTCACACGAACCTACTGAAAACAGACCTGAGTTCAAATGCGTTGGTATGTTCAGCTGCGGGGAAAGGGGGGCTACGCCTCCCGCTCCCACACCCCTCCCCCCCCAAGGTGAGCTTCTCTGTGCTGAATCTCAGGCCACTCTCACACTAGGACCACTTCGCTGAAGTTCAAGCGCATGCAGTCAGATTCATGGATTCTGGCCATAACCCCAGTCAGATACATTTAGGAAAGTGTTAGTGTGAGTGCGCCTGTCAGTCAGTCAGATTCATGGAGTCTGGCCAAAACCACGGTCAGATACGTTTAGGAAAGTCAAGCGCATACTCACACTTAGTCTAGGACTTTTTCTGCCAATTTCTGCAGGTCGTTGCAGTCAACCCACCTTCCTCAATCTCAGCTTTGCTGTGCTGACTGGCAGGACATGCTCACACTAGGACTTTGCTTCACTTTGCTGAAGCTTGAGAACATACTGAGTCTCGCACAAATCTGTTGTTGAAATTCAATACAGACCTGTGTCTCAGATGAGTAGATCAAAAATTGAAATAGCCCTGCCTTACAATGTGCGTGTTTAACTGTGTTATAGATTTTCACCACAACAGCCCCAATTCCACCCAGATGTGTGTGTGTGTGCGCGCATGGGCGTGTGTGTGCGTGTGCATTGGGTGTACACAACTCGACAAAAAAACATCACTGTGCCATGTTTCACTGGGCTTTCGGCAACTTGTCAGGTCTGCCAATATGCACTTGACCGACGGATAACGACCGCGGAGTTATTTTGATCACCTTTGTGAAGCAGTTTATCATGGTGAACTAGTTCACTGCATTGAACACTGCGTACATGTTGGCAAGGAGTACTTCCTCTTGTTGTCTCTCTTGCACCATTAATTGCTGCTGTGGGCCTTACTCTGACACTAATGGTGAAAAGTGTTTTTCGAATTTTTTCTACTTTTTCTGATTCTGGAGGCAACCATGAGAGGTCAGTATATATCTGTCTGTCTTGCTGGCTCTCTCTCTCTCTCTCTCTCTCTCTCTCTCTCT